TTATAGCACCAGCATCATATGCGCAAGCTCGTATCTGGCATGACGAACGAATTCGATTCGATCCTGATCAATCACAAGTAACAATCTACAACATGCCTTTTATTTATCATGTTCACTCAGGACAACCTCTATCAATTCACCAACTTCATAATGCTCTTCAACTAGTTGTTGCAAAACATCAATCACTTCGTACATCACTAGTTTTTCACAGAGAATACCATACACTTACGCAAAGAATCATTGACTTCAATCATCAAAATAATACGCTATTTATCTTTATCAAGAGCATCTATGAAACAAACGAACAACTCAATAATATCATAGATGAAGAAAGACATAGTTCTCAACTTTTCAATCTTGCGCAAGGTCTTGTCTTCCGTTGTCACCTTGTCTACTATAAAGAAATCTCTTCTAATGATCTTCTTTCTGATAAAGATGTAATCATCTTTAATTTTCTTCATGCTATATTTGATTTTTCATCAATGAATATATTTCTTCATGATCTTAATCAAGCATATACAACAGGTCAACTACCTGTCAATGGTGACAATACTACTTTACGTTATCTTGATTGTAAATATTAATAAATCTTATACTTATCTTTTATGACACATTCAATTTTTTTATTTAGATGCTGTCATTGAACAACAAATGTTAATGACTGGTGCAAAGATGTTTTGGCTTGATATTCTTCATGATGGTAAACTTGATCAATCTTTACCATTACCATATGATCGATATCGTCTCTCAAATGAACATAGAACTCATCGTGGAACATCTATTTCTTTTGATTTTGGTCAAGATCTTTCGCACTACTTGATTACTTATGCATCATTAAATAACATATCACTTGAACATCTCACACTTGCTACTTACTTCATCTTTTTATTTAAACTAACCAATGGAGAAAAAGATTTATGTATTGGAATGACTATCGATAATAGATATAGAGATGAACTGAAATCAATCATTGGACTATTTGAAAATGTGATTCCATTGAGATGTCAAGTAAATCCTCAATGGTCTTTTCATCAACTATATAAATATGTCCACGAGACAGCGAAAAATACTATGGACTATTCTTATTTTCCACTACAACGTATTCTCCAGCAACATCCAAATGTTTCCAAACCTACATTTCTTGATATATCATTCGAATATATTTCTTCAATGATCAAGCACCACACGAATGAAATAATATTTGATGAAAGTCAACTTTCTTTAGTACCATTTTCATTGAAGATTGGTGAAAATGAAATAATGAGCAATTTTGATTTTATAGCTAGTTTTCAGCTTAATCTAGATATGAGTGAACTCTCATGTACAATTAATGGATCACTCGATTTGTTCAATACAGAAACTGTTATTAAAGCTACACAAAGATTCCATTCAATGATAAATCAACTATTCACATCTATGGATAGTCAAATGAATAAACCAATTTATGAAATATCATTAACATTGTCAACTGAGCAACTACTTTTACAATCAATGAATAATACACAAGTAGCATTTGCATCTCCTGTTACTTGTATTCATCATGAATTTGTATGTCAAGTAATAAAACATCCACAAAAACTAGCTGTTGATCTTGATGATCAATCTTTGACATATTCTGAACTGTTATATTATGTTCAATTATTATCTTTGAATCTCCTCAATGAATATCATGTTTTTGTAGGTGACGTCATTTGTCAATGTGTCGAGCGAAGTTTATCAATGGTAAGCTGTTTGAAGAAATACTACCTTTTATGTCTCTTTGAAATTCATCTGAATTAGGTTATTGGTATGATGGCAATCGAAATGATAGGTGGCATTTACTGCCCGTTATCACCACGAGATCCTCCACATCGCTTACATGCTCTCATACAACAAACAGACTGTCGTCTTATTCTTGCTCACTATCAGACAAAAAGGAAATTTGATGATAGTATTAGCTCACTTATATATGATTCGGTTCTAGTGAACGAAAACACAGAATATAGTGTTGACATAGGTCGATTGTCTGATGTCTTAGTAACTTCTGAAAATATTGCATACGTTGTTTTTACAAGTGGTTCAACTGGAATGCCAAAAGGGGTATGTTACTATCTCGTTAAATCAATAGCTTTTATTTATGCATTGTTCCTTAGGTACAAATTCGTCATCGAAATTTGATGGCATGTATTGATTCTCTAGTTCATATAAACTTATTCTCAAACAACGATACGATGATACAAATGGCAAGCTGTTCATATGATGTACATGTGCAAGAAATCATAGGAGCATTGACTGTTGGTGCTAGCATTATAATGCTTCATCCCGAGGGAAATATGGATATTGAATATGTAATCAAAGTGTTGAATGAAAAAACAAATTTCATATCTACAAAGTGTTCCAGCATATGTTAACAATATGTTAGAGTATGTGAAAAAGAATAATTCTTCAAGTTTGAGTACTTTACGTACTCTAGATATTGGTGGTAAGTAAAATATTTTAGTCAGTATATAGGCATTCTGATGAAATTTTTCAGGAGAAAAAAGCACGGTTCACCTTATTGAGAAAATATACGTCTATTTACCTTCAAGTACATCTGTGTGGAACTCATATGGACCAGCAGAAACAACGGTTAATAGCACTTGTCATATCATAGACAAGTGTGTTGATATAATCGATATTCCAATTGGACATTCATTGCCTAATTATCGATGCCTGATGTTGGATAGTTTCTTACAGTTTGTCGCTATTGATCAAGAAGGTGAATTATTTGTAGGAGGAATGGGTGTCTTTGCTGGATATTTTAGACGTGATGATTTATCAGCAAAAGCTCTCATTGATATCAATGGTCAATTATTCTATCGAACAGGCGATCTTGTTCGAATGGATGATAATGGTCTTTTTCATTATATCGATCGAAAAGATTTCCAAATCAAACTGCATGGACAACGAATCGAACTTGGTGAAATCGAACAATGTTTACTTCGAACATCCATTTCAGCTTGTGTTGTCATTAAATGGAATGATGATCATTTAGTTGCTTATGTTCAAACTTCTGATATTGATGAAAACGTATTACGGAAACATTGTCAATCACATTTACCACCTCATATGATTCCCTCACTCTTTGTTATACTTGATAAACTACCACTGAATTCTAATGGAAAAATAGATCGAAAACTACTTCCTCCACCTGATTTTTCATCAATACATCTCACTAATCATGATGAA